GTTGTTCTCAGCCACGTGGACCCAGTAGGAGACCTGATGGAAAACCGGGGCGTTGTCGTTGACGTCACCAATGTGCAGGCTGACACGTGTGCTGGAGGACAGGGGCGGCTTGCCCTTGTCGGTGGCGGTTATGGTAAGATTGTACTCTGGGATCTGCTCCCTGTCCAGGGTCCTTTCTGTTACCAATTTATATGAATTCTTGGATGAAGAGACTATCTTAAAAGGAACTTCACCTTCCAATTGACAGTTAAACTCTCCATTTTCCCCGGAATCTTGATCATGTATTTTGATCAAAGCAATCAGTGTTCCAGGCACTGCGTTTTCTGGAATAATATCCAGTAGAGAATGGAAAGTAATTTCTGGACTGTTGTCATTTACATCTTCAACGCTAATTTCAACTGTACATTGTGCAACCAGTCCTCCACCGTCCCTCGCTTCCACCACTATAGAATATTCCTTGACTTCTTCGAAATCCAATGTGTTTTGAGTTGTAATTTCCCCACTCTTCGAATTTAGACTGAACATTTGACCCGCTCTGTAAAAGGAGTAAGTAATTTCGGCGTTAGTGCCTTCATCCCGATCTGTAGCTGACACTTGCAGCACCGGGGTGCCTGGGGGTACGTTTTCCCGAATGCTGATCCGGTACACCTCCTGGTTGAATACAGGGGCATTATCATTGGCATCGGTAACCTGGATTCGTAGCTCGGCGGTGCTGCTTAGGAGTGGGTGTCCGCCATCCAAAGCAGTTAAGACTAACCGATGGAAACTCTGTTGTTCCCGGTCTAGGGTTTTCTCCAATATCAGTTCCGGGTATTTACTACCATCCTGTTTCTCCTTATTTACCAGCGAGAAAATAGGGCTAAGAGAGAGTTTATAATTCTGTAGAGAGTTCAAGCCAATATCCGCGTCTTCGGCACCTTCTAATATAAATCTTGTGCCTGGCTGTGCATACTCACTTATCTGAAGTTCAAAAGAATTTTGGGTGAATTTTGGAGTGTGGTCATTAATATCCTCGATCTCCACATTCACGTGGTAAAAGTTCAATGGATTCTCCGCCACAGCCTCAAATTCCAGAGCGCAAGTGGGATTCTTCCCGCAGATCTGCTCCCTGTCTAGCCTGCCGCTCACAAGCAGCTCCCCGCTCTCTGCGCTCACAGTGAAGTAAGGCTTCTCCGAACTGACGCGCAGTTTCCGAGTCGGTAGCTCCTGCACACTGAGCCCCAGGTCCTTGGCGAGGTTGCCCACTACCGAACCCTTGGGCATTTCCTCGGGAATCCTGTAGCCAATCTGCTCAGACAGCGCGGGGCAGAACAAAGACAGCAGGAAGGGAA